TACAGCAGGACATTCCCCGTCCTCACCCCACCATTGCTGCCACAGAGGCACAAGCAGCCTTTGTGGGGGACAAATAATTGCTTTCCATGCATGATCCTGTTCTCCTGTGCTTGCAGTGCCAGACAAACCAGAAAACCTGTTGATGGATGTCAGCACGGGGTCCCTCAGGTGGAAGGCGCTGCCCTCCTGCAAAGGGGAGATTATTGGATACCAGGTACCAGGAGTCCATGTGGGGTGCCCGTGGTCCCTCTCACCTTGCCTGGAGCTCTGTGCAGGCAGCCTGAGGAGAGATGTGAGCCCTCCTTGGCCAGGGCCCACAGGCTGTACACTGCTGGTGTTCCTGGTGGGGCCAGGTCCCCTTCTTGTGCCCAGCCAGCAGTAGCAGCCTCTCTCTGCAGAGCTGCCCAGTGCAGAAGCAGGATGTTGGTGCTACTGTCTAGCAGCTCCCTGTCCTTCCTCCAGCTGAACATCACCACCATGAGAGCAGAGGACGGCAGCTTCCTCGGATTCAGTCAGGTGTTGGTGAACCAGTCTGTCTCTGAGTATGTGCCACCTAATCAGAGAGCTGGCAGGAAATACCTGGTGACAGTGCAGGGCCTGACGACAGCTGGGGCTGGGGCTGCAGCAGAGCTGGAATTCAAAACCTACATCCAGGGTAATGGTTGTTCTGCCCTGTGCCTGGTTGGGGTGGCCTCTCAGGGGGTGAGTACTGAGTCTGGAGCAGCTTCCAGGTGTGTGTGTGCAAACACCCTGTCTTAGCTCAGACAGGGGCAGGGAATGTGGGCACCTGGCTCAGCAGTGGGCATGAAGCTGGCTGAGTCTTTCCTGGAGAGCTTTCATTGGCAGGTCCACAGAGGAGCTGCACCGCTTCAGCCACTGCTTGTGCCTTTGATATCAGACCTGGCCCCTGCACTCCTCCACTGAAGAAGGTGACACCCATCCCTGCACTTGGGTGCACAGGTGGCTCAAGGTCAGAGAGCACTAGGGCTGCTGAGCCAGGGTCTGTGTCCTCCTGCTGTGTGCAGGATGGCTGGGCAGGCTGCCAGACCCTCCAGCTGGGGCCATGGCACAGGGCTCTGTGCCCCAGAGCCTCCCTCTGCCCTGCCCAAGCAGATGTGCAGGCAGGGGAACACTGTCTTGCTGCCTGTCTCTGCAGCAGGGTCTGGACACACATTTCCACAGAGGTGCAGACACCCAGCAGCAAGGCTGGGGCCACTGCTGGTGCACGGCCCAGCCTGTGACACCCACTCCTCTCTGTGTGTTCTTTGAAGGCCCTTGGCCTGTGTCAGCAGTCATTGTAGTGGTGGTGGTGGTGCTGTTGATCCCCTTGTCTGCCGGGATCCTCTGGTTTGTGCTGTCCAGGTGAGTACAGGAGATTTGGAGTCTCAACTCTGTCTCAGGCCATGTTGTGCTGTTTTTGGGGTGGGGAGAGAGGGGGTTCCCAAGCTGCTCCCACCCTTCTCTGGGTGTAGAGGATGTAGCTGGCTGGTCCTTGGTCCAAAGTGGCTCTAGGGCTCCTGGCTGGGGCTCTAAGTGACTTCCTGAGGGGTGGGACAGGGGCCATGTGTGCTGAGAGCCCCTCTCCTGTTGTTGCTGTTGCAGCCACCACTGCTGTCCCCTGGGGTGTAGGTGGGCAATGCCTGCCAGGGCAGAGGGAGGGGGTGCAGAACTCTCTGTGCCACTGCTGCTGGGTTCAGCAGGGGCTGGCCCAGGTCAGCCTCTCCCTGACTCAGGAATGCCCTTTGCCTTCCCAGAAGAAAGAAGGCCTTGCCCAGCAAAGCCGAGGAGGATCACTACACAGGTAGGATCCCCAGCACAGAGGGGACTGTAGGGCTGGAGCTGGGAGGGGAGCAGGTGTATTTCAGGAGGGCCTGGAGGCATTCTGAGGTAGCTCCAGGCAGCCCAGCTGGCTTTGGCTGGCCTGTCAGGCCAACGTGTCCCACATCTATTCCCAGCTGAGACCCTGCTCAGTAGCTTCTTCCAGCAGCTCTTGGTTCACTGCCATGCCAGTGAGGGCTGGGAACTGCTCCTCCTTCTCACTCTCTCTGGGGCAGGCAGCAGCTCTTCCCAGCCCTGCTATCCTAGTGTGCATCCCAGGATGCCCTGGATCCCATCCAGCCCCTGGTGATGCTGCCTGCCTGAGGCTGCCCTGCTCCTTCTCCCAGAGCCCCCTCAGGGTCCCTGAGGCTGTTTCTGCTCTCCTCTCCCCCACAGAGCTCCAGCCCTATGAGAATGTACATGAGGGTAATTACTGTGTGATGGAGACTTTCCTTGAGAAAGATGCAGGTAGGAAATGGGTTGTCCTGCCTGTGACCCCACGTGGCACAGAGAGAGTGAGGACTGCCAGATGGTGATGCCAAGGGCATGCAGCAGCCTCTGCCCTTGGTTCTCTTGCTCTCCTCAGGTAAATGTGGCCAGGCTGGAGAGCCATCTCCCAAGCTCTTGCCTGTTCTGGAATCCTCAGGAGAGTCAGAGCAGTGAGGAAGAAGAGCAGCTGGAGTAAACATCTGAGGCTCAATGGTGATGGCACTTGCCTTCTTGAGGTTTGGTCCTTCACCACTGTAAGCAGGACAATGAATCATCTCATGGATTATTGCTTCCCCCCAATTATCTTCATCAAGCTCCAGAATCCTCTGTCACAGCACAGGAGCAGCTCAAGGCATGGGATGACCTGCTTGTGCCTGCAAGGATATGTCCCAGTAGTTCTCCAGTGTTCTGGCATAGCCATCTCACCAGCATCTTGGTGCCTGCAAACGTCCCTTGAGAATGGAGGAGCTCACAACTCTTTCCACCCTGTGTCCTTGTATCCATCTAGACCGTGTCCTCTGCTTGAGCTTAGCCTAGCTGTGCTGCCCTGGACACTGTGCTGCTGTGTCTGAAACAACCAATAAATTGTTCTGGTTTGCAGGGGCTGCCTGGCCCACAAAAGCTCCCACCTTGTCATGGGTCCTCTTTGTTTTGTGTGTGAAAGCCTTGACTCCTTGAATCTTCATGGAGGAATTTGGAGTAGGATTTTCCAACCCCTGGCAGCTCCAAGGAAGCACACCAGAGGTGCTACATGCTGCCAGTGCAATGTTTTGGGTGGCTGCTTTCCCTCCTCCCCATCCTATAGCTAACACCATCTCCACTATCCACAGCTGGACCTCTGTGTTGGTCTGTGTCCTCCTCTGTGGGTGCTGGTGGCCATCTCCCATTTTGTGAGGTGCAGCTGGCACTGACCCTCTTGGGACATGGTGTTCTGCAGCCTTTGGGATCTGCTGGCTCTCAGCTGCTGCTGTCCCATCACCTCCAGCAGCCACTGTCTCTCACCCTGTGGGACACCACTGCCCAGTGCAGCCTGGATGCTGAGGCAGAGTCTGAAGGCTCTCCTTGGTGAGTAGATGGCAAATGGGGGGATCAGCCTCTCTTTTCTCCAGCTCTGTGTGTTGCCTGTGACGTTTCCATCTCCTTCTCCTGCCCTTGGGCACACACCCTGAGTTCCCTGGACTCAGGTGTGACAAGCTGGCTCTGATTGTGCTTTTACAGCCTTGAACACAGAGCTGTCATGGATTTTTGCTTCAGTGTTATCTCTCTCCCCTGTCAGACCTGCCAGTACCCAGTGCAGCCTGGAGGCTGAGGGGCAGCCTGAAGGTTCTCCTTGTAGAGGAGTACACTGACAGAACATAGAGCAATTGACTGTTCTCTTCTCCAGCTTTTTTTTTCAGCCTGGTGTGGTTTGCATGTGCTGGTAAAGACATGTTTTGACAGTTCATATGAGCTGTCTGTCCGACAGCTCAGTACCTGCAACTGGTCCCTGGGACCAAAATATCTCCTTCCTGTGAACTGCTGCTAGTGAAACGTGTGTGCCTGATGGAGCAGCCCTTTGTGGATACTGGGCAGAGAGGAGAAGAGCAACTCAAAGCTGTGTGGCTGCTGCTGGTTGAGAAAAGGGAATGAGCAGGCTTGGGATAGGGGAGAACACCTGCCACCTCCCTGGCTACCTTGCTTCCCACTCCATCCCCCCACACCCAGTGATACCCAGGGCTGCCAGCCTCATGACTCCACCTGCTCTGTGCAGGCAGTCAGTAAAGGTTTGTGGTTTGGACAGGGCTACCAGCTCCTGCCTAGTCCCCTCATTGCCCTTGTGAGGTGCTGTTCTCCGTGGGTGCTGAGCTAACTGCACCTTGTTGAGGGGAGCCGTGAGCAGGGCACCCTTCACCCTGGGCAGGAGTGTGTCCTGTGCATGTGCCACAGGCAAAGCTGAGGGACATGGTCTCTGTGCTCTGCAGCCCCCCATGTCTGATCACCCAGCCTTCTGGAATCTGAGACATCCCAAGTAGATGGGAGGTTCTGGAGGAAGAGAAAAGCGGCGGCTGCTGACGAGCAAAGGAGCATGGTTAAGTACTGTGAGTGTTTTCTCAAGCACACAGCTGGCAGTGCAGGGCAGCGTGGTCTGCACACTTGGGGACAGAGGAGAGCGCTTCCAGGCTGAGAGGGAGCAGGAGGAGGAGGCAGCTGAGGATAGAGAAGGGGAAGGATGAGAGAGGGTGTGGGTGGAGTGTTTCTTTCAGAAGAGCCGCGGACTGTTTAGGCATTGAAGTACTCCTTACAGTTCATGCGCCATTCCTATCCGTGCTTCTGACCAGGTCTTTATGTGGTTTCTCAAAGGTCCTCCATCTCCTGTGATCATTGAGGGGAAGTGACTCATCAGCACTCTAAAACCCACGCAGTGTCAGGAAGCACTTGGATTATTACCTCAGAAACAGGAGTAACACTTATTGAATGCCCTGGTAACTAGGAGGGTTTTGGGAAGAAACTCTGGGATCTTGGTAACAAGGTTCTTTCTACTGAGTCCCAGAGACTGGATGCTTCTGGGGCAAAAAGATATCAAAAGGCAAAAGTGCTGACAGTGATGGGAGGTTCCCTGCCCAAAGAGGAAGCTTCCTGCATCTCACGAGGAGATGTGTCTGTTTCCTTCCTGTTGCAAGCCTTATAGTCAGATACGGATGCCTGGTCTCAGAGGCAGCAAGTGGGGCTAAGATTTCAGTCCTGTCTGGGGACTTCACACTAGGATGGCCCTGCAGTCACTGGCTCTGAGGTTTCTCCTGGCCTTTGCATCTCTACTGTCAGCACATGGCCAGGATGATTTTTTCAACATCCAAATAGTGCCCCAGGGAACAGGTAAGAAGCGGTTCTTCCTCTTGGAAGCTTCTGCTGCCTTTCCTCCTGTACACTGGATAATCATCTCCAGCCTGCAGCCCTGGGCTGGAGCCCAGACAGGCTCCTGAGGGCTGTGTCAGCTGGGGAAGCCTCTGTTCCAGGGACAGGAGCTACAATGTGGGGTTCTGTGGGAGAGACAGGAATGGCCTGGATGTGTGGGGATGGGTCATGCCCTCCATAAAACCAGTTTGCCAGTCATTCCCTGGAGACAGTGGGCATGATTTGGGCATCAGTTCACACACTGTGAATCAGGGAAGGGTCTTCAAGGAGGTGTCACTTTCTGTACATATCCTGTCCCCAGGTGTGGCTGAGGGACACTGTGCCTGCTGAGAGCAGTGCAAGAGGGAGCTTGCTGGTGATTTGCCAGACAGATGGACTGGGGAAAGATCAGTGGCTGAGCATTGGTCATGGCTGTGTGCTAGGGGTCAAAGCTGCTGGTTGTGGTGCTCAGCTGGGCAAAGCTGGTCTTTTGCCATCAGGGCTGTTTGACAGCAAAGCCTGAGCACAAGTGGTTTGTCACCATTTCCCTTTGTGGTAAAGTTGTGAGATCCCTTGTGTGCCCCTTTAAGAGAAGAGAGATTGTATTTTAAGCCCTTCAGGCCTTGCAAAGCTCCTTGCAGAGGCTTGAACAGGCAAGGGCTCCTTCCAGAAGCCAGTATCCTCCTCTGTAGGAATCACTGCCACAAAGCCTCCCCCTGCAGCACAGGACAAACTGCTGAGACCAGCTACTCAGCTTCTGGCTACTGAGCCTGGAGAATGGCGAATTTGGTGAGGAGGTGACGAGAAGAAGGAAGGGTTATGTCAGGAGAAAGGGGCAGGGGCATTGGTAAAGCAGGAGATGTGAATGGAGAAGGCATTGCTCACCCCCTGTCCTGCTGCCCAGCAGTGTGGGGCAGGAGCAAAGCAGCCAAGGCACTGAGTGAGTGAGAACGGGGAGCCCAGGAGTGTAACAGGGGCATGGATGAACCCTGTGGCAGGGATGAGCCTTGGCTGAAGGGACATACATGCATGACAGCAGGAGTGGTGGTGCCATGGCCCAGCAAGTGCCACCTGAGCTGGGCTGGGGTACAAGCCTGAATGAGAGGTTGGAGGGAGTTTCCCAGGGCAGGGATGATTGGGAATCTCCTTGCTGTGGGCTATGGAGAAGGGAATATGGTGCCCACGGACACAGGTGTGAATGGGGCAGGTTCATGGATGAGTGATCCTTCACAATTTCGATGCATAAGGATAGCCCCTTCCCAACAAGGTCACATCCCAGCAGATGGATGTGTCACCTTCACTCTTCCTTCAGAGGCTGGAGGGGTTGCTGGGGATTTGTCTCCCACCTCTCATCTGTATCTCACCTCCTCACCTCCGGCCCAAATAACATCCTCTTTCAGCTATGCCAGAAATGTGCCGAAGGCCCCTGTGGGACTCCACACTCCAGCTGGTGCCAGACCAGCAGAATTATAAGAATGATGAAGTGATGCTGAGCTGCCCTGAAGGTTTCCAGCCATCCTTCAGCCATATCAAATGTTCTAGTGAAGTCCAGTCCTTCACTCGTGGGAAACCTGTATACAGAGAAGTGTGGACTGGAAGAAACTCCAGAGGTGTCTGGGTCCGCATTCGGTCCAGCGTGGAGTGCAGTGGTAAGGATCAGGAGCTCTCTTGGCTGCCTTGCTCTGCCCTTCCTGAGCAGGGAAAGCAGGGTGTGGTGCACAGGAGGTTTTGGGCTCTGTGTTGCCCAGGGAAATGGCAGGTGTCAAGTCCAGCCTACAGGTCACCCCTGGGGGTCTGGGTGATAAGGGTCTCCCTGAGGGCTTCTGCCAAGAGCATGTGCACAAAGGAGAAAAGCATGGGAGAGGGATCTGTGGTGGAGTTTGTGGCCAGCACATGGATCACAGGGCTTTGCTGCCTGTGTCTCCTCAGATGGTGTGGCTGTGAGTAACACAGCTTGCTCCATGTGGGCTGGGCCCCTCCAGGTTCTGGGGCATGGTGGGTGTAGGCTTAGCATCCTCTTCTCACAGCTTAGGGCATTCATGTTCCCTCCAAGGGAGAACAGTGCTGTACCTGATGGGCTGTAGAGATTCTGGGACACACAGACACCTCTGTTTTGACTAAATGGGGAAAACTGCTTGAGCAGTAGTAGTCCACTCGTTTGCCCACATTCATTCCTGTCCAACTCCTCCTGCTCCCCTTTGGGAGAGCTGCAGTGACCACCTTCAGTCTCACTTTCCCTCCCACTGGGCTGGGTGATGAGCAAGGTCGCTTGACTGCACCATCCTTGCATGCCTGGGCTGGGAAGGGAATAACGTGACCTTCTGGCAATTTTTCCTTCACAGAAGTCTTCCAGGTTGACCCTGAGACCTTTGAGATTTCCAGCACCAGCATCAAACTGAACTGGACCTGCAGGTTCCCTGATGCCTGCCAGGGCATGAGGGCCATGTGCCGGCTGGCAGCGCCTTCCTCCCCTCCCTGTGAGGCTGAGGAGGTGAAGGGAGAGCAGATGTTACATGGCCAGGAGGGAACATTCACCTGCTCCCCTTTGCAGCCCTTCACTGAGTACAGTGTCACCATCGACTTGCCCCCCAACACAACCCTTTTCTCGTGGTTGTTCACGACAGAGGAAATAGGTATGTGCACAGAAATACCGGAGATGAGGAACAGTCCAGAGCTGTGTCACAGGTGGATCAATGTGCCCACCACCTGCCAGCTCAGCCTGATCACTTGCTCCCTGCAGGGATGTGCCTGGGATCGGGGCTGCTTGGCTCCTGTGGAGCTCTGGGGAAGGGGCTGGGAGAGCCCTGGGCAGGGCACGTCCTGTCCTCATTGTCCCACTCCCCACCACACTGTTGTGCTTCCCACTGCTGCAGCACATGAGGCCTTTGCCGGGGACAAAGCCTTCGCAGGGAGTCCCTTCTGCAGCCTGTCCCACGGCCAGGAGCTGCCTGCACCCTCCTCCTCCTCAGCCCCTGCTCATGGCCCCGTGTGTGACCCCACTGTGTGCTTCCAGTGCCGGACAAACCGCAGCAGCTGTGGCTGGATCCCGACAGGGGCTCTCTCCGCTGGAACTCGCTGCCCTCCTGCAACGGGGAGATCATCGGATACCAGGTACCGAGGGACCAAGGCAGAGCCTCGCCTCCCGGCCTGGAGCTCTGTGCAGGCAGACTGGGAAGTGTGAGCAAGGGACAGCTGGCATGAGCCACAGCTCCCAGACAGTAAATCTCTGGCCCTGCTGAGCACCAGCGTTTTCTGTTTCATTCTCAACATTCCTCATGCTCTGGAGATGCCCAGAGAGCTGTGAGAGCTCCATGTTCTCGGGGCTTCCTTCCTGGCTCTGCTCTGCTTTGGCTTTGGCTTTTGGAGGCTGGTGTGCAACACATGGTGACGCGTCCTCTGGCGTGGCATCCCAGGGTTTCCTGCGCCTCTTGCGTACTCGTTTCTGGTTCTTGCCACAGAAAAACTTGTGGTTTGACTAATCCTCTGAAAGTCCCTCCTGAAAGCCCCTCCTGAAAGCCCCTTCTCCAGAGAGCTGCACCATTCTGTTGAGTTTTTCTCAATGCATGCCTAGAAGCATCTCCTCTGTCTCTGGATTTGGGACACGTTCCACAGCAAAACCCTGCTCTCTGGAGTGGGAGGGGCTGTGTGTGCTGGTGACATTGTTCTCAGCATGCTCTAGGTCCTTTCTGAGGACAGAGGTCCCCACGCTGCGACAGGGACCTTGCAAGCTGTTCCTCAGCTCTTTCCTGGAGAAGCTGTCAGACAAGCTCTTGACAATGCTGGGAGCCTGTTCATCTGGCTACCTGCTCCCAGACACCCACGTGCATGAACAGAATCCTTTTTTTCCACTTCCAGTTGTCTTCACTTGTGCATAAGCCCAGCATCTGTTTCTGTCCGCAAGGGAGAATGGCCGTGGATCTCATGACAAATTCAGATTGACGCATGGGCAAATGGGGACCCTTCATCTGTATTACTTATGGAAACTTTAGTCGTTGTCCTTTTCTCTTAGAGAAAGCCTTCAGAGCCCAACTTTACACAGAGGAAAGAGAAGCTTAGATTCCTCGGGCGGAGGATGTCACCGCGGTGCCTCGGTGTTGCAATACACCTGGGGTGACCTGTCCTCAGGCTCAGTACATGAATCTGTTACGGCCCTGCAAACCAACAGCTTCCCTCTTCCCTTCGCAGAGCCTCGGCCCTTTGCTCACAGAGGCTGCTGCTCACACGTCCCGAGCGCTGCCTCCCAATTCCTCCTCTCCTCCGCTCTGAGGAGCCCGCATGGGGCTGAGGCTCCTGCCCGCTCCTCTGCGGAGCCTTCTGGAGCCGGGGCAGGCCCAGGGAAGGGAAGGGAAGGCTGGCAGGACGTTGCCGGCTGCGGGCACGGTCCCCGCGGGTTGCAGCTGTGTCTCCTGTCCGCAGCTGAGCATCACAGCCAGGAGGGCAGGGGACAGCAGCGTGCTGGAGACGGAGCGGCTGCGCCTCAATGGCTCCGTCAGCGAGCACCGGCTGCCGGAGCACAGCCCTGGCAGCAGCTACACCGTGACGATCCAGGGGCTGACGGCTGCTGGAGCCGGGCCCCCGCTGATGAGGGACTTTGACAGCGACAGCTCCGGTAAGCCGCGCTGCGTGGCCGTCGCGGGAGCCGGGGCACAGACGGGCCGGGCTCGGCTGGCTGCGCCGCCCGAGGCTGCCCCTGCTCCTGGCACAGCCGTGCCGATGCTCATTCATTCCCCGGCTGTTCCTCCGCAGACACCCCGCGCCGCCGGGGCAGCGGCTGCCGCAGCGTGGGCGACATCGCCCCGTCCCAAGGCACGGCCGTGCTTCCCCTGCGCCCCCTCGCCCGGGCCCCCGGGGCAGCCAGGTGAGCGCAGCCCCCGCAGCTCGGCAGCCCCGGCACGGCTCTCCCCAGCCCAGCGCCGGCTGCAGACGCCTCCCTTCCGCCGTGCCCCGCTGCCACCGGCTCTCGGCCCCGCAGGGAGCACCAGCTCATCGTGGCCGCCACGCACAACGCCTCGCTCATCGAGGGCATCTGCTCGGGCCGGCCGCAGCTCTCCAACACCAGCGTCTACGTGGCCGCTCTTCTCAACCTCACCGCCCCCACCGACTTCGTGCTGGGCGACGGCAGCCGCGGCCCGGGCCAGCACAACGCTGCCCTCCGCCCGGGCCGGGACTACACGGCCCTGCTGCGCCTCAGCCGCCTCTGGCCGCAGGTACCGTGGCCGGGCTCCCGCTCCCTGGGGCTCGGCCCCTCGCTGCGGCCGGGCTGCCTGTGACAGCACAATCCTCTCCCTCCCGTGCCTTGCCGCCACCGTGTCCCTGGGGGCATCGGCCGGGTCACTCGCGGGCCCGGGCGGGGGACCTTTGCCCCCAGGCAGGGCAGTGCTGCAGCAGTGGCCTCAGCTCTCCCTCTTGTCTCCTCCAACAGGCAGAGAAGTTCACCTGTGTCTGCTACAGCTTCTCTGTCGGTAAGTGTCTCCTCTCACTCGTGCTGCCCAAGCCTCTCTCCAGCAACTTCCCTTTTGCCAGCCTGGCAGCTTCCCTGGAAATGAGCTGGCTCAGTGCAACAGCTTTAGGGTCTCACGTGGAACAGAGCAAAATTCCCATATGTGGGGTGACCCTTCTTCCCAGAAGAAAGCTCAGCCAGGACACCAGCCTACACACTTGCACATAGCCTTTGCCATTCTTGGGTCCTTTGCCAGCAGGCCAAGGCTGTGGCACTCACCCCTGGCTCTGTGTTGGTTGCAGGGCAGACTGCGTTCCAGTGGCATGGGATTGTGATTGGACTGGTTGTGCTGTTGGCAGTCCTCCTTGTGGCTGCAGTCATCCTGTGGTTTGTGCTCTCCAAGTGAGTAGGAAGTGGGCAGGTTCAGCAGGTACATACACAATGCCAGCCTCTAACCCAGAACTCCCCTTTGCCTTTCTAGGAAAAAGAAGTATTTGCCCAACAAAACTAAGGAGGATAGTTAAAAAGGTAGGAAAATGCAGTTGTGCAGACAACCATCAAAGGCTATAAGTCTGTGGGGCAGGTGGGATGAGAGCAGCAATTTCCCAGGAGAATGTGAGTTTCAGGAGAAGCAGCAGTTTGTACACTGCACTGACACATCTGCTGATTTGCCTTAGCTGGGGATGGTCAGGATGGCTCTGCCCACTGAGCCCCACATGGCAGCACAGTCTGGTTCCAGGCAGTGCTTGCTGCCTGGAGGAGGGACAGGGGTGAGCAAAGATGGGCATCACAAAGGCTCAGGTTTTTGAGGGACCCATGTCTGTGCCATCCCTCCCAGGGATCTGCAGGGAGGGATCTCAGGAGGGTCAGGCTGAGGGGCTGCTGCTCTCACCTCAGAACTGACAGGCATCTCTGGAGCCCTGTGGTTGGGCACAGCTGGGATGAAAGTGTTGGACTGCGGCAGGCATTGCTGTGTGCTCCAGCCTGTCTCTGACACTAGGTGCCCTTTTTCTCCACAGGTAAAGGTGGCTAGGCTGGAGATCAGTCTATCCGGGACCATGGAGACATCCAGAGCACTGAGGATATGAAGAAAATGGGAAGGATAACCCCACCCCAGTGCTGATGACTGCTATGTCCCCTGGCTCTCCTGTGACTGACCAGCATAGAGGTCTCATGTAATTCATCCAATTCAGCAGGGCATGAGGAAAACAGAAGGCCAAGGAGGGTTGAGCTTTTTCATTCCTCACCTCCTAGGTTTTGCTTACTGCTTTGTAAGGCCTTTGAAACTGGCTTTCTGTAATCCTTTTTTCCAGGCTTTGCTTTCATTTTTGCTTTCCTGGAAGCATAACTTGTATGCCAGATTTCCCAGTCCCAGACTCACACAGGCTCAGGCTGATGGCATTTGCTGTCCTCTGGGCTCCCAACCCTTCTGCCCTTTCTGTTGATATTCAGCCAACAAAGCCAAGGGTTTTGCTAGGCCTGGCTGAATGCTTTGTGGCTCTGCCTATTCTGTCTGGACAACAAATAAAGGCTTATGTTTTGGAGGGGCTGCCTGTCCCACACAACTCCTGCCTGGTCCCCTCATTGCGCCTGTGGGGTCATATTCCCCTGCAAGGAGCTGACTCTGCCTTGTGGAGGGGAGCCACGAACAGGGCTGCTGTGACCCACTATTCCTCTAGTGGTGCCTGACAGCTTTTCTGACCTCCTGAGCTGAGCTAGACAGCACTAATGTGAGTTTGGAGGAGATGTGTGGTGGGAATCCATCAAAGGTGATGGCCCTCAGCACACATTTTGGCCAAGAGCGTATTCTGTGCCCATGCTGTGGTATACCTGTGCTTTCAGCTCCCTTGTGGCACTGTGCCAGGTCAAACCTGGAAGAAAAGCCAAGATCAGGGGTCACCACCACCATGGCCTTTATTGGTGAGACACAGGACAGAGAGCCATGGGGTCACTACTGGTTTTGAAGTCTTCTGCAAAGGCAGAACCTGTCTCCCTGGTGCTGCTTGAACCACATCCAGGATATTCACGTTGAGCCCCTAAAACCCGGGATTGCCATGGAGCAGCCAGTCAGGCTGGTGAGAGAGCCTCTATGGAGCTGGTAGGCCGTGGCACTTGGAACAGCACCAGGAAGATGTAGCCCCAGGAAGAGATTGTGTGGGGTTTGAAGGACCAGTTTAGCCCCACAGGACCATGGGTTGTCCCACTCTTGGCTCTCATTGGCTTTGGGCTTCACACTTCTCCCAAAGTAGGACAGATAACCTGTGCTCCTGAGAACACTGGATTTTAGAGCAGTTTGAGACGTCCCTGACCAAACAATGTGGGTGTTTGTGCTACCCCACTTTCCTTAGGGCTACCTGAGGGGACAAGGGAACCTGGATAGGACAGCTATTCTCTTCATCCTTGGCAAGAATGGATGGGTGAAGTCCTGATGCCTCTGCTCTGGTCTGCAAACTCAGGCTGTGATTCCAGATAAGTTCCTGCACAAATGTTGGGCAGAGGGTCAGGTTCCCATTTCAGTGCCTGGCCAAAATTTGGAGACAGTCCAGCCTGTGTTCTCCAGCCACAGAAGACCCTTGGGGTGGTTTTTCAGGGGAGTGAAGCATCTTGGGGTCACACCAAAGCCCTTTTATTTCCTCTTTCTTCTACTGTTACTGATGAAGGGCTGTCCAGGGCATTGAAGTCCCATCCAGAGACAGGCTGTGGTCATGCCCCTACTTGAAATTCCCATAGGTTTCAAATGAATTCAAGTAACTGAGGGCTAGTTCATAGCAGAGCCCATACTGTTCCTGTGGATAAAAGGATGCACATGAGACTCAGGTGGACCAACACCTGCAATGGCATGTCAGCATTGGTCTCCAACAGCTTCCTGATGCAGAGCATGCCAGACACAGGTATAATCCACCCTCCTCCTCCCAGCTGGAGTCCACCTTTCCCTGCTGAGGAATCCAGGCAAGTGCTCCAGGAGCTGGGGGGCTGGACTACACCAGCAGTGGAGCCAGCTGGTTTTGTCAGGAGAGCCAGTCTCCACAGCACAAAATGTTGAGCAGCCAGGAGGAGCAGAAAGGGGCCACATCATCATGCAGGATGCTTTGGCACCTGTTCAGTTCTGCTGAACCTGACACTGAGGGAGTGGGCATGTCCCAGCAGCAGAAAATGGGGTTCTCAAAGATCTCATCTGCACCTGGCCTCAGGATGACCCGAGCACAGAAGGGCTAGGGCAGCTACTCGGGCAATCCAAGATATGGCTCTTGTTTTGGTGTTGCAATCTCAGCAGGGTTTGAAGTCAGCACCTACCACATCTTTAATGAACTGTCTCCGCCTCCTCTTCAGCATCCTCACAGCCTGGGATACATCCACCATGCCCTCACTTTGGATCTGCTCACACAGGAAACTAGCAGCACAGAAGATCCCACTCCGGCTGGCTCCATCCCTGTGGAGGAAGGCAAGGGGAACTTCATTTGCTCTGGGATCAGGTGGCAGGCCTGAGCCTCAGAGGTGTCCCCTTAGACCCCCACACTCTCAACATGATCTTGGCCACAGATCCCACAACCCAACCTTCCTCCACAGGGAAGCCTTCCTCCCTTAACATAGCTGAATTCATATCCATACATGCACCCGAGATGCAGCTGTGACCAATTTCAGTGACACAGCCTGAGCTGTGTCCAGCTCTTTGCCATGGCTGCTCCTCCAGGACACATCACTCACCAGCAGGTGACAAGGATATGTCCATCTTGGCTCTGCCGATGGTGTGTCTCCACCTTCCCTAGCAAGCTGATGATGGTGTCAGGGTGTGGGGGCAGATGCTGCTGCATGGGCCAGTCTGTCAGTTGATGTAACTGGATTTCCACTGCAGATTTCTTGGGCTAGTGGGGGAGAAAGACAGTGGGCTGGGCAGAGCAGCGAGCTATTGGTTTCATGGAGAGAAGGGGAGGGACAGTGCATGCCAGTCCTGGCTCGGCCGTGCACACTGGCTCAAGGAAGCAGCTCCACAGTGGGACATGCCACTCCAGACTTTGCTCTTCTCCACCAAGTGCTCTGAGACTGGCAGATGGACACAGGACAGGAGCTGAGCACCAGGTGCTGCTCAGACTGACACCAGTCCTGTGTCCAGCTGCCTGCAATAAATCCCCTTCCATGTACCACCAAGATGCACAAACTCCATCCACAGCTACTGTCCTCCAGTTGGAAAGGCACAAAAAAACACCTTTGAGTTGTACCTCTGCCTGCAGCCTCACTGTCTTGGGATTGGCCTCTCTTCCACGGCAAAAGACTCTGCTCTGGCCAGTGCTTTGCCAGGACCCCACCAGATCCCTCTGCCATCTCTAGCTGTGACTTTAACCCCAAATTAAAGCCTGTTGATAGCTGGTCCTCCCACCTCTTGCAAAAGTTCTTCTCAAAGGAGTTTGACATCTCTGAGCAAAGGACCCACCTGCTGCCTGTTGCTGAGCACAAGTGTCCAAGTCATGAAGCCAGCCCCAGGCTCCTCTGCGATCAGCTGGACGTGGAATCGGCCATAGTCATCCTCGCCCTGGGTGGGCCAGAACTGCACATATGTCTGGGGAGAGGTGCACAATCACACATGGCCCCACCTGCACACAGGGCAGAGCTCAGCACCTCACATGGGTGGGTTCACACCAGCCCCTCGCCCATAAGCCACGTACACATGGCTCTGCCAGACATTTGCTGGGCACCAACCCAGAGCTGCAGCCAGAAGATAACACTCCATCAGAGGGGACACCTGGGCAGGGGTAGACAAAACCTGAGGGATGCTTACTTGCAGTGAGACTGAGGCCAGCCCACTGCTGTGGCACTATGGTGCTGGGACTGTCCTCAGGGCTATCCCAGCGGGAGCCCTACAGGCTTGCAGCAGGTACTGGTGCAAGCAGGGCTCTCATGACAGGATCCATACAGGGACAAAGGCAGAAATCACACTGCCCAGCCCCAAGGGAACCAGGAGAGGGGAGAGCTGTGCTTGGGCTGCTGACCTTGTCCAGCTCCTGGAGTTGATTCAGCACAACCACTGATGTGCAGGTGTAATCCCAGACCAGAGCCCAGAAATCCACCAGCGTGGTGGGGAAAGGGAGCTGGGTGATGATGATTCTCTCTTCCTCGGTGTACGTCTGCAAAAGACACGACGGTGCATGTGGGGGGAGAATCCCACAACCCCCGAGAGCCCTTCCTAGAGCAGGCACGGCTCCCTACCGCCCCGCTGAGATGGAGACGACACAGGCCACCCCAGCCCTGCTCAGGTCAGCTCAGGTTAGCGCCCCGCTGCCCTCTCAGCTCATCACACCCGGGCTCAGCTCCCAGCAGGATGTGGCAGCACAATGCTGCTGCGCTGCCCGCACAGGCAGGGCTCTGCCGATCGCGATCGCGGGGGCCATCTCCTGGCGGCAGGGCCAGCAGCCGCTGTGCAGGAGCCCGAGGGCTGGGACACCTCATCCCTGCGCGGGATGCTCCAGCCTGGCCTTGGGCAGGGGAGCGCAGGCGGGTCCCTGCCGCCCCGAGCAGCTCCCGCTCTGGCGGCTGCCGGAGCCTTACGCTGGCAAACACGGCGTTGATGTAAGCTGGAGAGCCGTCTGCGTTCACCGAGGACATCAGGATGGGCCGGCAGGAATCGGCTGCAGAGGCAAGGAGCAGAGGGAGGGAAATGATGGGTCATTCTCTCCCTAGGCAGGGGACTTTCCCTGCAACAGATAGAGTCATCATAGCTCCCTGCAGCATGGGCTGGAGAGGACTGAATGGACAGGCACCACTACACCCATGGCTCTGGCAGCTGAGGGCACCCTGATGTGGGATGTCCAAAACCCCGTGGCTGGGAGCACAGCAGATCCACCCACCTAATCGCTCCCCGATGTGCCTCATCTGAGGTTCTCCACTGTGAAAGTTTAGACCAGGGGCATATTTATCCCAGGCTCAGTAGGAATCAGCCTAATACGTACTTATTATCTACTATCCAGAATGGCTGGACCTTGGGCAGAACCTGCCAATGTCATGTGCTGGGAGGGAAGCAGCAGGAGAGCATTGTTCCCCTGCATGCTGCTATCAGGCACTGGGTTTTAGAGCAAGAGGCTGCCCAGCCCTGCCAGTGTTACCTGGCAGGATCCCTGGCTTGCGGTTCTTAGGTTGGTTTCTGGGTTTCTCTGCTTCTCTGCATGGCAGGAGCTGGAACAACTCAGAAAATCTCTGCAGGGCCTGTAGAGATGATTCATCCAAGTCAGTCCTGCCTGTCAGCACCTCACCTTCTTGAACCACTCCAGAGAAATGATCCCCATCTCCATCCCACTGCTGGGAAGGGGAGCAGGGAGTGGGCTGGCATCACAGATGAGCCCTCACAGCACAAAGCACAGAGCGCACCATCTCCTGGTGGTACCTTGAACTCCTCTAGGACACTGTTGTGGCCTGAGGTCTCAGCTTCTCGAAGGGAGTGGACGAGGGTGGCGATGCTCTCCACTGGGACCCCGGTGTTGCCGCAGAGCAAGCCTTCGAGAAGTGCCTCGTACAGGAAGCTGTACTGCTCCTGTGTGAGGACATGGG